CAGGAGAGAGGTGGTGGTGCTTTGGGAGGAACAGTTGGTGAAAGGGCTGGAGGGAGGCAGCATGTCCGGCCTTGAAGTAATAGGCCTTGGGCTATTGATGGTGATTTTGTCTTCCTCTTGTGGGATTAGAGGAGGTCAAAACATGTGGCCTTTTTGCACCTGCCTAATTTCAAAAAAAGCCAGGACTGGAGCAAAACAGAAGGCTCATTAGAAAGGCCTGGAGGAATGATCAAGGGACAAAACACAGAGAAGAGTAGAACTGAGAGGAACCCAGGAGAGCAGCCCAGGTCTGAGTCTTGGGAACCCCAGGAAAATAGAGCTGGAAGATATTTCCTTTGACTGGCCAGGTGGAACTCACAGAGAAAGGATAGGAAGAATGCAGCATGCACATGAAGGAGGGATATAGGGCAGGACAGCAGTGCAGGTTAATGCAGTGGTGGGTGAGTGTCAGGAATAGGATGCAAAATAATGTGGCAGCTATAGGACAGTACCTCACTGGGAAAATTCATTCGCCCCTTCACTATCAATTGCAAAAGGGCAGAGAGTCTATTGGTTTCAACTGATGATCCCTTGATGATGAAGAGCTGGGTACATAAACATAGTGCCATCAGGGCTCCCAGTAACAATACTCACTGACATCAAGTTGATTCCAACTTACAGTGACCTCACAATGGGTCTCCAAGGTGGTAAGTCTTTACTCAATTAGATTGCCCCATCTTCCTCCTGCACAGTAGCTGGCACAGTTCAAGTGCCAAACTTCTGGTCAGTAATCAAATGTCTTACCCACTAGGCCACCAGAGCTCCTTCCAAGAAAGAGAAAATACAGATAATTATAAGATCTCTGTGCATAGATATCATTCTCTAATGAAAGGAACCACAGTTTCTTGTAAAAAAAATTCTGATTACAGAACTAAAACAGGAAAATGGCAAGAGGAGTACTGGGGAGTCTCTGAACGTGTACAAATTTTAATGGGAATGGGTACAAAAATATAGAAACCTACTCAAAGGAGCTCATAGTTACCAAATCTGGAACAACATGTGCAAAATAAACCTGACAAAGATGTAAGATGGTTTACACCGTATGGGAGTGACTGGAAAACCAATGTCCCATTTACCCAAAATCTGTAGTTACAAAACAACTACCATTAAGGTTCTCCCACAGGAAGATGGCCTCCTCTAGGAATGCAAGCCCCACATCCTTGCACTCTGGTGACACACTGTCTACATGCAGCTCAGTCCCAGCAGTCGGATCCAGGCACAGACTAATACCCCCAGGATCCTACATGTGCAACTGGATGGGTCAGGTTCCATTCTCTACAATTCCCTCTCTTCCATACCTGCCCTACACCCTAGTATAGGTCTTCATGTACAAATCCCATGTGGCCAGTCTGCTGTCTTCTTTAAGTTGGGGGTGGGTGAGGTGAACCAACAGGGATTCCAAGAAAATGGACACAGCTTATATTAATTAACAAGTACGTGCTAGTTTGTAACATTCATCAACAAATTATTATGTATAGTACTTGCAAGTACAATAGCATACTTGAAAGTCTATAAGGGTTTTTATGTATACAAAGGCATGTTATGTATACTATACACTGAAAGAGATACTTGAGTGACATTACATACACAGTGTAACAAACTCTTTGGAAGAAATTATTAGAATAGAAAATATTGTTTGGTGAACACCAGAGTGAAAATTAAACATGACAATCTACAGTATGGATTACAATTAAGTATGAAGAAAACAAAAATCCTCACAACTGGACCAATAAGCAGCATCATGATAGATGGAGAAAAGTTGAAGTTTTCAAAGACTTTGTATTACTTGCTTCTATGATCAACACCAATGGAAGCAGCAGTCTGACATCAAAAAACGTATTGCATTAGGAAAATCTGTTGCAAAGACCTCTTTCAAGTGCTGAAGAGCAAAGACATCTCCTTGAATACTAAGATGCATTTAACCCAAGCCATGGGATTTTTAATGGTGAGTGTATTCAACTGCATGTGAAATAATATCATTAAAACCACGAAAAAACTATAAAACATATTTGCTAAAGGCTATTTCCTGCCCCTTTATTTGTAATACCAAGGACTTATGAAAAAGATAAAGGTTAGATTGGAAAAGGAAGAAACACTGATAAGGATGGTCCCACAGTTACAGTGAAACAATCATTTCTCACAAATCCACAAAGTAGTTGTAATCGCCCAGTCTTTGTGTTAGTAGTATTTTCTTACTCATTGAGAAACTTTGTTCTTTAAGGAATTTGATTTACAGGAATATGGTACTCCCAAATTCTAACAGGAAGGTGAAAACATCTCAATCTTGACACAGAAGTGTCTCCAATGTGTGTTCTTAATTGAGAAGTGAGATATGCGGACCAATTATAGGCTTACCCACATTCTTACAATTCACAAGGCCTCTCTCCACTGGGACTGCTTCTCTTTAGTGACAGTTGAGGAATCACTGAAGGTTTTCCCACATTGCTTACATTCAAAAGGGACCTCTCCCCTGTGAGTTTTCATACTTACATCCAGGGCTGAGTAATTACTACAGGCTTTCCCACATCACTTACAGACATAAGATCTATGCCCCTTGTGAACCTGTCTATGTAAAGTGGGGTTTGACTTTTGACAAAAGGCTTTAACACATACCTTGCATTCATAAGGCTTCTCTCCACTGAATTTTTATGTGTCCTGAGAGACAACAGGAATGACTAAAGGTTTTCCTACATTCCTTACATTCATAACGGCCTTTCCTCACTGTGAATTTTTGTATGTTCACTTGGCTGTGGTGACTGCCTAAAGGCTTTTCCACATTGCTCTCATTTGTAAGGGCTGTCTGCACTGTGATTTCTCAAATAAAAAGCAAGGTCTAAGGAATTTCTAAAGCCATTCCTACATTCCTTACATTCATAGGGCCTCTGTTCACTGTGACTTCTTATGTGTCTAGTGAGGTCTCAGGGCTGATCAAATGGTTTCACACATTCCCTGCATTCACTGGGCCTCTCTCCACTGTGAACTCTTATGTACAGAGAGGCTTGAGAGCTGAATAAGTGCTTTTCCACATCTCTTATATTATTGGGCTCTCCACTGTAAACTCTTTTATGTATAGAGAGTCTTCAGGGCTGATTAAATTCTTTCCCCATTACTTACATACGTAGGGCCTCTGCGCTGTGAATTCTTTTGTGTATAGAGAGGCTGGAGCTCTGACTAAATGTTTTCCCACATTCCTTACATTCATAGGGCCTCTCTCCACTGTGAATTCTTTTATGTTTAGAGAGGTGTGAGGTCTGATTAAATGCTTTCCCACATTCCTTACATTTATAGGGCCTCTCTCCACTGTGAATTCTTTTATGTGTAGAGAGGTGTGAGGGCTGATTAAATGCTTTACCACATTCTTTACATTCATAGGGCCTCTCTCCATTGTGAATTCTTTTATGTATAGAGAGGGAAGAGGAACAACTAAATGCCTTCCCACATTCCTTACATTCATAGGGCTTCTCACCACTGTGAACTCTTTTATGTACAGAGAGGTTTGAGGCCTGACGAAATACTTTCCCACATTCCTTACATTCATAGGGCCTCTCTCCACTGTGAACTCTTTTATGAACAGAGAGGTTTGAGGGCTGACGAAATACTTTCCCACATTCCTTACATTCATAGGGCCTCTCTCCACTGTGAATTCTTTTATGTGCAGAGAGGTTTGAGGACTCACGAAATCCTTTCCCACATTCCTTACATTCATAGGGCCTCTCTCCACTGTGAATTCTTTTATGTACAGAGAGGTTGGAGGGCAGACTAAATGCTTTCCCACATTCCTTGCATTTATAGGGCCTCGCTCCACTGTGAATTTGTCTATGTGTAGAGAGGGTTGAGGACAGACTAAATGCTTTCCCACATTCCTTACATTCATGAGGCATCTCTCCTGTGTGAATTCTTTCATGTCTAGAGAGGTCTGAAAGCTTACTAAATGCTTTCCCACATTCTTTACATTGATAATCCTTATCTGTCTTGTGAAATTTTGGCTGAAACATCAGGGATGCTGGATGACTACTCATTTTACAACATGCTTCACACTCATGTTTATGATCTCTCACATATGTACAAAAGGAAGAGAAACTATAGAAATATTTCCCACATTTCTTATGTTCATACCGTTTCTCACCAGTGCATATTGTTACAGGAAACTTAAGGGTTGACATGCAAAAGTCCTTCCTGTGTACATTAAATTTGTGGAGCTTCTTTCCCTTAAGAGTTTTCACAGGAGTAGTTCGGTGAGAGGGACAAATGCAGGCTGCTCCACATTCCATACAGTGATGGGTACTGCCTGTGGAGGGTGATCTGGTGTGACACGCACGTGATGACTCGTCCATCGAGGCCGTTCCCCACACACAGGATTGAAAAGGACTGACCTCCAGAGGGTTCCTCTGTACCACAGCAAGATCTGGAGCATGGCTGAAGGTTTTCCCACACTGTCTGTCTTCATTACTTTCATAGAGAATCTTTACATTATGACTTCTGTTAAAGATAGGAAACAAGCTGTTGGAAACAGATTTGTTTCATTTCATTACCATCAAACACGGTGAATGTGCATGGTTTCTGCTCTGATTTATCCCACCTATCATCGGTCAATTTACATAGCAGAAGCATTACTATTACAGTTAATATTTTTCTAGAATACTACACTTTCTGGTAATTGGGAAAAAGTGAAGAAAGTGTAAAATATTTGATATCTTAAATTTATGAAAATGTTGCATTGTAAAAATTTTCTGAATCCTTAGTTTTCAGCTAGATTTATACATATAAACAAATATATGTGTGTGTGCATGTGTGTGTGTGTATAAATAAGCATCTATATTGAAGGAAAACGTCAAATCTGCACTGAAGGTATTGATGAAAATCAAGACTCAGGAATTCACGGGATGCCCACTGAGATATTTCTACAAACAGATGTCCCACTGGAGACACTCACTTATCTATGCCAAGAGATATCTAAGATAGCTACCTGGCCCACTGACTGGAAGACATCCATCTTGTACCCATTCCAAAGAAAGGTGATTCAACAGAATGTGATGATTATTGAATGAAATAGTTCATGTCATACACAAGTAAAATCTTGCTGAAGATAATTCAAAAACAGTTGCACCAGTATACTGACAGGGAATGTCCAGAAAGGCAAGTTAAATTCAGAAGAGGACATGGAATGAAAGAGATCATTGATGATGTCAGATGGATCTTCGCTCAGAGCAAAGAATATCAGAAAGATGTTTACTTGTGTCCTTTTAACTACGCAAAGGCATTTAACTATGTGGATCACAGCAAATTATGGATAACACTGAGAAGAATGGCAATTCCACAACACTTGATTGCACTCATGAGGTACATTTACATGGACCAAGAGGTTGTCGTTTGAACAGAACAAGGGGACACTGCATGGTTTAAAATCAGGAAAGAGTGTGTCAGGGTTGTATCCTTTTATCATATTTATTCAGTTTGTATGCAAAGCAAATAATCTGAGAACACGGACTATATGAAGAAGAATGCGGCTTCAGGATTGGAGGAAGACTCATTAACAACCTACCATATGCAGATGACACAATTTTGTTTGCTGAAAGTGAGGATGACTTGAAGCCCTTACTGATGAAGATTTAAGACTTCAGTCTGCAGTATGGATTACACCTCAACATGAAGAATATCCTGATAACTGGACCAATGTGCAGCATCCAGATACACTGATAAAATACTGAAACCATCAGAGATTCAAATTACATAGCCCCACAATGAACACACACGGAAGCAGCAGTCAAGAAATCAGATGATGTAGTGCCCTGGGAAAATCTGCTATACAAGACCGCTTTAAAGTGCTGAAGATCAAAGGGGTCTCTTGATGACTAAGGTACACCTAACCCAAGCCACAGTATTTTTAATTGCATCATAAGCAAGTGAATGCTCTACAGGGAATAAGATCAAAGAAGGGTTGATGCTGTTGAGTTGTGGCACTGACAAAAAATAATCAAAGTACTACAGACCACCAGCATCAAGTTGAACTTGCATATGAGTAACTGATGTTCTGTTCCACAGTCATCTCCTGTGCTTATTTTGTCTGAAGATATTGAGCTTCTTCATTGCCTCTTTCCACATAGGTAGCAAATCTGATTCCTGTGTATCCCATCTAGTGACATCCACGTGTATAGCCACAGTTTATGTTGTTGAAAAAGGTATAAGCGATGAAGAACTTGTTGGTCTTACAAAATTCTATCATGCAATCTATGGCATCATATTTTTCAACTACTGATGATTTTCCTTTGTATCCAACTTTACATTCCAATCACCAGTAATAATCAATACATCTTGATTACATTTTTGGTGAATTTCACAATGCAGAAGTGGGTGAAAATCTTCCATTTCTTCAACTTTAGCTTTAGTTGTTGGTGAATAAATTTGAATAGTAGTAGTAGTAACTGGTCAGCCTTGTAGGCATATGGATATTTTCCTACCAATGGCAACACCGTATTTTAGGATAGATCTTGAAACATTCTTTGCGACAATGAATGCCACCCATTCCTCTTCAATTTGCCATTCTCAATATAGTAGATCATATGATTCTCTGGCTGAAAACAGCCAGTACCAGTCCATTTCAGCTCACTAATACCCAGAATATGGATCTTTATGCACTGCATCTAATATTTGACTTCACTTTACCTACATTCATGTTTTGTACATCTCACGTTCTGATGATTAATGGATGTTTCCAAATGTTTCTTCCCATTTTGAGTCATGCTGCATCAGCAAGTGAAAGCTCTGAGAACTTTATTCCATCCATGTCATTAAGATCGACTCTTATTTGAGGAAGCAGGTGTTCTCCAGTCTTATTTTGAGGGTTTGGACCTCTCATCTTCAGACACTGTATCAGACAATGGTTCAAGGTTATTCATAAAGCTTTCCAGTAATATATCAGACACTGCTGTTCATAAGGTTTTCATTGGCCAATTCTTTGAGAAGTTGATGGCCCCTTCCTTCTTCCCAGTCTGTCTTAGGGTAGAAACTTCACTGAAATCTGTTCACCATGGGTGACCATGCTGGTATCTGAAATACCAGTGCCATTGCCTCCAACCTCACAGAAACAAGCAAACCACCACAGTATGAGGAACTCAGGCAAGTAGTGGGACTGCTTCCTACTGGGGTCAACATCCAACTGCAATCAGATTTGGCTTCGAGGCAACACAAATGCTGCCCTCGTTTAGGTTGGCAATTACTGAATTGCTACAAAGTGCTTCAAAGTCCAGTAATATGTATACAAAGACAAATGTGTGTGTATTAATGTCATGACACCTTATGTTTTACTCCATTAGTCATCTTTTTCTCTTATTTCAATGACACTCACCTCAAACATCTCCCATGGTTTTGATGCAGATCTTTCTTGCCAATCAAATTGGAGATCTCCCCTAACATGGAGGACCAGGTGTTATTCTTCATCAATCGCAACATTATATGATCACTGCACAACTTCTCTCCATCAGTAAAAGAGACTGACCAAAAATTAAAGTAAAGGTTGACAACATGAAAGAACAAAGAAAGATTTATCACATTTCAATACTCTGGCAATGGTTAAAAGCAAAGGAATGGGAAATACTTCAACGAGGGCTGAAAGCAATGGTGACAAAAATGTGTGTAATTAGGAAAATAAAGTAGAAAGATATTGGACACAATACATATTTAACATAATAGGAAAAGGGCCACCATGACCACAGGTGAGAGAAGATGGCCAAACCTGAAAGGTAACCTCAGGTTTCTTTGATTTTGGGTCCTCAGTCAAAAACAGACTTCTTCAACCTGAGTGATTGCAATGTAATCCCCTCCACGGAGAGCTGTCCCTTTGAAAAGTTCTTATTTTCTGGTGCTTCCTGACAAAGCAGCTCTCTCTGAGTCCTATCCTGACTCATCTCAGATTTTCCCTGGTTTCTCGGGGAAAACAAATGGGTGGCACTGACTTTGGGCCCATGGAGAAATGTGTATCATGAGGGAATACAGTGAAAGACAATGACCATGTCCTTGTCACTGAGCCAAAAGACTGCCCTTCGGATGCTCTGGAGATGGACAGGTGTGAGTTGATTTGCATGCAAATAATAACATCAAACTTGTAATTAACACAGTACAACTTTCTACAAGGGCTCAAAAAAATTTTTTTTGATGCCCCAAAGTGAACTCTAAAGCCCATGCATGTTGTTGTTGTTGTTATGTGCCGTCGAGTCGGCCCCGACTCATAGCGACCCCTCCTTGGGTTTCCAAGGTAGTATCACTACGGAA